GTTAGGGTAATTTCAACATTTTGTGTAGGTTCGCGCTGTTTGATGTAGATGTTGATGAGTATCAAGGTGAGCCTGACTATGTCGCGGAGCGAAAAGCCAAGGAGGCTGCCGAGCAAGTGCAAGGACCAATACTGGTGAAGGCTTGATCTGCTGATTCTTTATTTGTTTTGTTAAACTGTACGTCACACTTGATGATGACTACCGTTAAGTTTGTTGTTGTTGTTGAATTGTTCCCTTGAATTTTTCACTATGATACATTCTATTGTGGTTCCGTAATCATGGGTACGCTTTACTTTGTGTAATTTATCTAATAATTAATGATTCACAACATGGTGACATTTTACCATCTTGGAAGCATCAGAAAAGGCCTAAACGGGTAGAATAAATTCTCAAGAGACTTAATGAGCGTCATGCCCTCACTCTTAATTTGTTTGTTAAACTCAATTTCACAGTTTTTTTTTTCGTTTTGCTTTATTTATTAACCAGATTAGTCCCCCGTCAACCGCCGGGACCTTCCTTTCCTGCGCAAGCTTTCTATCCTCCGCTATGGTCCCTTCCTCCTGTGACACCAACACCTCCTGGAAGTGACGCGTATGCAACACAATGGTGTTTCATACAGTAGAAGGGACACAATCATGATATGACGGTAGATTTTTCGCTTCCCTTCCTCATCCTCCCTTCCTCTCTCCACTGCCCTCCAGCTGCCACTGCAGCACCATGTGGAATGAACGGAAGTGTGCTAAGCAGGTGTTTATATAGCCCTAAGAGTGTTATCACAACTATCCTGCTACAAAACATTGATATCTCAAATCCTGTAAGCTACCCGATTTGTTAGCGGTTTGTTTATCCCATGAGCTTCCTTCTCACTCACTTCATTTTGCGGACGGACACACATACATACATACACACACACACGCACACACACACACATACAGATACACAAACCGACACACAAAGTTAGCGCTTTATATAATAGAAGGATTCCTAATAAGTTCGTATCGAAATTACTCAATTTTCTCTTTTGACGACAATCAAGATTCGTAAAGAGTGAAAGATGTAAAAAGTTTAATCGTAGCAAAAACTAGTTGATATCATCAATTTTTTCATGTATCTGATTTGATCTTTTTTTTAAGGTAGAGGACACAAGTCTATGTTTCAACGCTTTCAAAGGTCTACCAGGTGTTTACATCAAATGGTTTCTGAAGAAGCTTGTCCAGCCGCTTTACAAAAAATTGCTTGGTTGGATATCATGCTTAGTTATGTGCTAGAAGAGCGCGCTTACGTAGCACCGTAAGATGACCATCCGAAATGAAGTAGATAGCCTAGTGTCTGACAGACGCCTCTGGCAAGGAAGCCTAACAATCTCGCTTTTTAACCAGAAGTGTATTTCTATTCCAAAAGTGAAAAGTTTTTAAAAGGTGTCACTTTTAGCTGGTTACGACGACAAGTCAGCATACGCACAATGTATATTTGCTTTCACAGAGGGTAAAGGACAGCCTGTGCACATTTTCAGAGGTCAGCTCCTAGAACATTATGTTTTTGATAATATAAATGAATGTGTGTATTGTGATTTTTTTGACGAGTTGCTCTGCGTGTGCAGTAAAGACCGCCGATTTGGTGTGTGAGTTCGATTACTGACTTTTCTCAGTTGATAAATAGCCATTTTGTGTGCGTGTGTTACCCAGTAGAGACCAGCTGGGATCAACTAGAGGTGAGGAGAAGGGTGGGGTATAAAGAGATGCCAGCCATCAGTTACCTATTCTCATTATTGTCTGGGCCTTCATCACAGAGAGAGGTCAACTGTCGCGTCCAGAGGAAGCTTGGGCGACTCACACATAACTGTTGAGACTCAAAAATTCTGAAACTTCTCTTATTTCCGAAAAATGCAACTTACTTGAAAAGCTACCTCCCTTATCACATTGAAAAATATGGCCTTTTTCTTCGAGCAGGGCTCCACTACTTAAAATCACAAAACACTCTTCCCATAGACGGTTGACCTTGTCCGCAGGTTTTCCACCCCGCTCGTATGCTTCACTCATGGTTGGCAGCTTTGAAGGAAGCGCAACCTCGTTAAAAACTGTCCTCAGGAAACCTACGCTATGTTTGCTTGTGAGGCTTTCCAGGAGGGGTCGAGCTGTAAAGATCCACCTAGCATTTCACAAAGGACGGTGGAGGTTGAGGCAGTCTGGTATAAGACCTAAAAGTGGCGCTGTTTCACAATGCGGATTCCGATTTTTATTGATTTCCTATTCGTATTTAACTTCGCTGATAAGGGTAAAGGAGGCTTTTTGTGGCCTATTTCATGCTCCTCTGTGGCTCGCCAAAAGTGTCACCTAGCTAGGAATTCTTTTTTTTTCGGGGGGGGGGGGTGTGGGTAGAACTCCGGGTGGGTAAAATCAGAATCACGTGACAAAAAATGGGCTGTTGAGTTACAGGAAGTGCGGTCACCCACCCTAGTCGTGTTCCGCATCTCCACTAATCTTAGCCTTTGCGCTATGTCGTGATGAGGGTGTGTAGGACTCCTTGTATATCGATGTGGTTCGGTGGTTCAGTGCCCGTAGATGCTCGCCTGCACGCGGACGCGCCGGGGTCCCGGCCGAGTTGCACCGAAATGTGTAGGACTTCTTGTGTATCGATGTGGTTCGGGGGAATACAGTGGTAGAATGTTTATTGTCTAGCTTGGATTCTGGGCGTGCCTCTCAGTCTCAAACGAGGCCGCGCCTGTGGTATCATTTGAGTGACATTTATGTGCTCAAGGAGTGGTGAGGTGTTGAGATGAGTGCGTAGGTGAGATTAGGTGGGAAGGTTCTGGTGGCATGCCAGAACACTCCGGAGGCGAGACGAACATAAAATAGGCACGATAATGGCTAGGTACTGAATGGGAGAGTCATTTCTAATTGAGACTCAACATTAGCCCCTATTCACAGGTTTAGTCGAACTTGTGGAAAGGCCTTGGCGTCAAATCTCACCAGCGCCAGAAATGAATTTTAGAGCAAGCACAGTTTTGAAGATATAAATTTCTTGAGATTTCGGCTCCGCACACAAGAAAGTGCCTAAAAAACTCAGTCGTGGATAGATGTGAGCTAAATCCAATAAGTATTATACAAACCTCTACTTTGTCAATTCATCAAGGTGATGCTGATGATTTTTTGAAAAATTTTGTTGTTTAGGTCGCTGTCCTGGGCATATAGTGAGCCCACGTGGACCTCCAGATTTTGGATGGGACCCTTGTTTCCAGGTACGACTCAGCTGTGTGATGGGAAGACGCTTATCACTAGTAGATCCTAACTGATAGATGTTTCAGCCAGAAGGATTTCTTCAAACTTTTGCTGAGATGGACAAAGCCACTAAGAACAAAATTAGTCATAGAGCACAAAGCGCTGGAATTGGTGAAAAAGTTTTTCGAAGATAGGAAATGATTTCTGAGTTGCATTTTTCTCTCATTTGTGTTTTATAGTTTTCTTGGTTCGTTAGACTCTGATAAATTATCCGAAGGAGATTTATGTTCATACTCACAAGGTCAACGCCTCCTATCGTACTTCTTGATATGGTTTGGTATCCGTTGTGAGCTTGGTTTCTTTTGTGCGCATTTATGTAGAATAAGGTCAAAAAATGTCGATATTTGTTATTTGTGCTGTCTGTTTAGCTACTCCGAGCTACTGTAATGCATGCTGAGAGCGTTAGCTTGGCTACGTAGTATACGGCATCCTAAAATGGTGACGACGCGCAAGAACCCAGTGAGTCGTATTTTTACAAGGATTTGAAAATAAATTCATCTTTTGGATTGGTATGGAGTGAGTATGGGTCAAGGTAAGCTTGAAATTTGAACCTATTCAGGTAATATTTGTTATCGGTTGTACTGGAACTGGCAAAAGTGATTTGGGTGTTGCTATTGCGAAAAAGTACAATGGAGAAGTGATAAGTGCTGACTCGATGCAAATATATAAAGGTAGGATATCACGGAAACTGCGTAGAAGAGTGAATTTATGGTGATGTGAGAGTCCGGCTAAATATCAAAAATCTTCAATTTTTTTTAATTTTTTGAGCAGAAGGGGTTTATTTCAAACAATGTTAATTTAAGGGTATTTAAAATGTGATTTCAGTAATTTCAATTGTTATAATTTACACTTTTTTCCGAGTAGGGGTAAATATGAAGTGTTTGTTAATCGACGGTTACTCTAAAACCTTCCAGAATTTCATATTTTCTGATTTGCGAAAAACTCACTAAAATTGGCTAGTTGGCTTTTTAGGACTTGACATTGCCACAAACAAGATAACAAAAGAAGAGGCAGCAGGAGTTCCTCACCACTTGATGAGTTTTGTTGATGCTGCTACAGCTAAGTACAATGTTCATCTTTTCCGCATGGAAGGCCTGAAGATTATTGAGGTGGGCTGAGTGAAGTTGCAGTTCACAAGGTATTTTCCTGGTAAACAACAACTCTTTGGAAGTGGCATGCCCTTTTCCTACTCGAGCCTTGGGTGTGTGCAGAGATGTTGAGGTGTTCGGGTTTGCCATCTACTGGACGTCCTTTATTTCTAACGGGTTGTTGGGGTTCAAGATGATCTTGTATGGAGCTTCAGAGATTCTGAGTAACCATTCAGTTCAAAAACGATGAGACGCGGTAAAATATACTAGTGGGCCGGCGGTTGAATGTAAAGGTGCTCATACTTCCAGACTTCCTTCCATTTCTGTTCAAGTACGATGTGCATACTAACCACAGGCAAGGCCAACCATGGCGTGGCATGGAGTTGTGGAATACGGTCCTCTTCCCAACGAAAGTACTCGTGCAATCTGTCTCATTGCCGGCACTTATTTCCACTCATCGGTGGATTAAATGTGACACCTTCTCCCGATACTTGGGTCGCAACTTAAAGAAGGTTTTATCGATAAGGTTGAAGAT